CAGCTTATCTTAAAGATGGAGCATTATACAAAGATTCCAAGTAATCAACCGCTACTACAATTAGCATTTAAGGAGACTAATTAGTTGACTTTTAATAAATTCTTTTCACAAAATAATTTCTTTTTCAATAAAAGCAACACAGGAAAAACAACAAAAGTGAATTGAAAAGATAAGATTTATCATACAGAATATTTATCGTTAGAAAAAGAGTGGGGGTGAACAAGCCGACCTGAAAAGCTGTCAGAAGTTGAGAAGAAAATGATGTCACCATGATGAGAAGTGACAGTCCTGACTGCTTTTAAGGGTTCCTTTCCAACAGGACCAGGCCTGCCCAGGTTCAGAGTCACAGCTACCTGATGGCCCATGTGTGTTAGGAGCCCTAGGCAACTGGGGATGTATTTATCCCTGTGAGGTGTCAGCCACAGCCACACCCCTGCGAGCCTTCCTTGATTCCTTCCCCTTTGATTTGCATCTTCCTTCTTTTGAAACCTAGGCTCAGACTCTGACACCTGATACTTACCTCCCCAGGGTTCTTCCCTCCTCATTTTCAGGACTAGTCCTTATCCTGGCAACTTGTAGCTGCTGCTTGAGTTCTCATTTCTATAGATTGCACAGCCCTAAAACAGCATTGCTGTACTCTCAAAATACACATGCTGTTCTCTGACAAAGAAAATTCTAAATTGTACTGGGTTTTTTTCTGCCTCTGCCTTTATTTATCTACAAAGGGGAATTTCTACAACAGGAAGTGATGAGAGGCAATATAGACAGTGAGATATATAAACTCTCCCTTCTCTGAATTAAACTTGCTAAATTCTTTCCTGCTTTCTCAGTCTTCTTGTTCCAACTAGGACCTATGGGAAGATACCAAGATTTCCTGGTTACATTAAATAAATTGTCTGCAACTATGTATTTGTGCTGATACATAAACTAAATTGTCTGCAGCAGAGTGTATGTTCAATGATGAATAACACCTGCACATTATTTGTCGGCAAGGAGAGAGGGAGGGAGGGAGAGAGAGGCAGAGAGAGATAGAGAGAGGTGAAGAGTAACAATAATGCATGTTAGAACATTAATCCCACAGGGTGGTCATAAAAGTTTCTCAGTCCCTCTGCCATGTAGGGGATACATGCTTGTGCCTCTTCCCGAGGGTAACTTTTAGAATAATACACTGTATTCTTAGCGCACAAAAGCAAGAATCTGCCAGTTGGAAAGCTCCATGTAAAATATTCTGTCAGAAGTCAGCCACACTAACAGTTCAACAATGGTTAAGCGTAGGGTAAATATGCAGCGAAGTACTTCTTTTCTGTTGAGGAAATTAATGTCACACTCCAGTGCCCCATTTCCCACATGAGGTCTAGTTTAAACAGCACTGTGCATAATTATTGGATGACTTACTAAGTTAGGGAGTGAATGGGACTCTCCCAGGTCCTGCCCTGGGACTCCTTCCTTGGTGACTATGCAGCTAGTTAGCTACCTTCTTTTTGTTAAATCTCCCTACTGAGATCCACCTTACGGTTGCCTTGTAAATTGCAAGGCCCTTGAATGTTAAGGTAATCAATCTTCATTGACAGTGACTAAATTTGGTACCATAATAATAATCAATACAAACTGAGAGCAATTTCCAGTGCCCAGATGTTTGGCATGATGTAGGTAAATCATTCAGATAATTAAATGTTTAACTGCCACCCAGATGTTTTTGCTAGAATCTCTATAATATACACTTTACCAGCAGAAACCAAATAAGTGATTAAATTAATAATGGCTAACATCAAACCACACAACCAACCAAACAAATAGAAAACACAAATTTTACCTTTAAAGAGCCAACTCTTAACTAGAACATGTTGATATAAAATGAATACTGTTTTATAAACATGGCCTAAATTGCTATATCTTCAGAGTTGTATTACCAAGGCAATTCATTAAGAAAAAAAAAATCTCATTTTAACAATGTAGGATGGAAAGGGAACTGCTGTATAGGTTGGTGGAATTTTAGATATGGACTAAGACTGATGCTTTTAATACATGACTTTTAATAACGCAGTTGTTTTGAAAGTTACACTATTGGGCAAACCGAAAATAGAAGTACAACTTACTTTGCCCAAAATCATGGCGGATTATTCCCCTTTGCTATGGAAACTGCCTCCAGCCCAGAATTCTTATACTACTCTCAGCTTTATAACTTATTCCTCTCACTGAGAAAAAAACAAAGTCTCTCAAGCAAAGCAGCTGTATCCAGTGATCGACCATTTTTCTCTTCTAGGGATGAACTTGGGATTAGGAATCTGGGCAGTCACAGACATGACATCCTATTTCTCATAGATTTGATGGATAGTGCTGAAGTATAGTACACAAACTTCAGTGCAAATAAGGTACTTGCAGTCAAATGCTATTTATTATTATTTATTCCTACTGTTAGAACACATTTACTGAATTGGTCCATACATCAAACATTACATTATTTGCTAAAATTAACAACTGAAGTGGCAAGACTTTTTTTCTGTATATTTTAAAAACATCTAAACACACACACACACAAACACACATCTGACCCAGAAAAGTGGAAAATAAGTAAAATAAAAAGAAATTATAGTGATAAAATTTGGGCTAATTTCCAGGCCTCTTTGACTAGGTGTGATAATGTGCTTTGGTAGTCAGACTGAGTATCTGACTATTTTACTTGACCTTGATTGCTATATAACAAATGCTATCTTTTAGATTGCTTCTTATATTGAAAATAAATGCATTATCAAGAATGATGTGACATTAGGCAAACATATTCCCCAATTTAGTATACATTATTAAACAGTTAAACTATTGATGGGATTCAGATCCTGCCACCACAAAGTATGGCATGATGCCAAGAAGCAGAGGTTTTTCTCATTTTTCACCATGCTCCCCTGAGGCAGGCCATAGAACCTAGGAAGGGCACTCTTTGGCCACCCCCCTTTCTTCCCTGAAGACCTCCGTGTCTTGATTATCTGACCTTAGTCCTGGAAGAAAGGAAGGAATGCCACATAGGGAGATCGAGAAGAATCTGAACGCACAGGCCTTATGAAATTGCTGGTTTCTTACAATCGGATCAGGTCCTTCATCCTCCAAGCATCTTTCCCACAACTGTCCACAGAAGGATACAGTGCTGTCATTTCTTTGAGTGCTCATTTATGAAGCCTCTCATACTACCTGAAACTTGTACTAAACAAATCCATACGCATTTCCCTTGTTAGTCTGTCTTTTCTTATAGGGTTCTCGGTCATGAACCTAGCAACGGGTCAGGAAAGATGCTACTTTTCTCTCCTAAACTGAAATCCCAGTGGTTGCAACAACTAATGTTGACATTCTAGAGCAGTGTTTACAAAGAACACATTGAACACATGCCAAGAGATACTAACCACGGTCCTGCATAACAAAGGACATATTTCATTGTTTCGTGAGTTGGAAGGAAGAGAGGAAACAGGATTTATTACTGTTTGTTTGTGAAATAAACTTGGGAAAATCCTTTAAGAACAGTTAATCTGGATGTGATATGACTCTTACAGGAAAAGAATCTTTAGGTCTCATTGAATAAGCTGCCTTTCCTTTTGTGACCTTCTGTGATTTGGTCACTGCTTAGTTTGTGTTTTCCTTTTCCCTCTTGTGCAATCTAAAATGGTAATAACATCATCTGCCTTCTGCCCTGGTGCCTTTATGAACCTTGGTTTTCTATTGAAAATACTGGCCCACCACTGAGCAAACTGTAACAGGCCACACAAAAGGAGAAATAAACTAATTCTTTAACATGTTAAAATGATCTTACTGGTAATGGCAGAAATAAAGAGGAAAGCCTGAAAAAGACAGTGTTTTTCAGTCTATTGCAGAAAGACAGGTGGATGGATTCTCCTTGGCTGGTGAGATTGACATGAATCTGTAATCTTCAGGTCTGACTAGAGAAAGGATTAATTTCATGCCTTTAAAAAATAAATTGATATAATATACTAAGAATTGTAGAAATGTTCAGAAGCATAGATTTGATAATTTCACTTTTAAAAATTTATTCTAAGGAGGGCTGGGGATTTAGCTTAGTGGTGTGGGCACCTGCCTGCAAGCACAAGGTCCTGAGTTTGATCCCCAGTACCAAAACAAACAAACAAAAATTTATTCTAAGGAAAGAAATGAGGAGGAGAAGAAACCCCTGTCCCTTAAAAACTCCTTCTCTAACAACATTTTTATGTGGAAAAAGAAATGACAAATAACAATGGAAATATTAATTAAATTAAGGTAGAGGCATCTGATAGAATATTTTGTTGCAATTACAACTTGATAACTATGAGCACAGATGTGGCAACAAAGGAAAATACCTTTTATAAGTAGGTTTGCAAAATTATATGTTTTCTTATTTTTCAGATATACTTTGATATATTCATTTCATCTTATGATAATATTAACACTAATTGGAGCTCATTTTTTATTTTCCAGTTCGCACAGCCACCCTTTTGGAAGAAATTTCATAACACTTTATTTATATTTTAGTTTTGCAATGACTATACATTTCTGCACAGTTTTTCTCAGTCAATTTGTAGTAAGTTTATAAGCTGTCAAATAGTTTGGTGGTAGATTTTGGAAGTGAATTTAGAGTTTATGAATGAATCCTGGGTTTCATCAGCAGCAAGAATTCTGACTAAAACTTTGAGCCTCCTCTACTCACTTGTCCCACTCAGAAGGAAGAGTAATTGCCACATGAATGACTAGCATTAGTCAGGTGACTATTATCTAATTTAATAACTAATTATTATCTGATGTTCTCACATGGGCATTTTCTATTCAAAATGTTTACTGATCTTATCCCTGGATATGAAATTGTTTTCCTATTGCCAATGCAGCAACCAATCACTGCATCTACGTAAATAATTTTAACTTTGAGCACATTTTTCCTATTCTCCATGATTAGAGATGGAAATCACATCCCAAAAGAAACAACACTTTTTCCTAGAGTTTGCAATAGAGATAATCTCATTCCTCACCTCAAGAGATCTTCTTGGGTTGAAGTCCACGGGTAACAGAGTCCACAATAGGATCTGGAAAAAAAAAAAGGGAGGAGAGGATCTTATTTCAAATTCACGTTTTCGCAAGTGAGCACAGAATAATCCGGTTTGCTAGAGATTTAGTCCTTTATGGCTAGTAAGCAAAGAACTTTCAGATTAAAAACAAAAACAATGACAACAGAAAGCCCTTCAGAACATAAGAGTTAGAGGAACATTATTTGAAGCGCTTCAAGCATGGGCCGTGCTGAGGATCCGGCTCCTCAGAGCGAACGCCGCCTCTGCTCTCCCGAAGGGTACTGGGTGCCTGCTGTCCACGGCAGGATGGCTGCCTAGCAGCTCTGAGTGTGGAACTATGTGCAGGCAGGGGGACTCAATGCATTCCACATTCCTTTTATTCTCAGTTCCTCAGTGCTCATCCCATTTGTGATTGTCCTTTGGAAACTAACTCGTACGTATCGCGACAATTTTATTCAGCAGCATATTTAGAGGATGTCATAAAAATACAAATAGTTCAAATGGCTGAGGCACATACAGGGTTAGGGGCCAATTTCCTTGATCATGGCCTTTCTTCATACTGCTCTACTATTAAAAGCCTGAACTAAAATTCACGACCACAACTTGAAAACATAGGAATCTACCCACAGCATTCCGAAAGGAATGCTTCCGAAAGCCTTTAAGAAATAAGAAAGGAAAGCGACAGACATAAAAATAAGCTGAGTACAATAGAGCTAATAAAATTCTACATGATGCACACAAAGAAATTGATAACAATTCTAATTTTTTATTTACAAGATTTAGAATACTTACAGAGAACAATAGTGATAAAATATCCTTGGTACTTGGAAATTGCAATAGCAGGTTGAGACTCAGGGAAAAGTATGAGCAATTTCCCTGTAGGCCTAAATCAGAATAACATTTGGTTCTCCACATTTCTTTCTGATACATTCTTCTAGGTCCGTGAGTCTTTTCAGTGACCCAGAAAGACCCTCATGTACCACCTTTGGTATCTATACTGGCATTCCTTCATTCCTTCACTTACATACATATGACACCCGCTATTGTCATACATTGTTACAGGTGCTAGGATTACAATGATAAATCAGAGAAGTAAAACATGACATTAGATGCTACAATGAAAATAAAGCACAGTGATGAGATAGTGTAACTGGAAGCCTTATTTGGATTAGGTCATTGGGAAAGGTATCTCTGACAGGAGTGGAGATGTGACTGAAAAGAAGTAATTGGATACAGGAGGCTGTGGTAGAGGAATATACCAAGCAGAAGCAACAGTGCACTAGAGCTCTAACATGGGAAAGAGCTGAGATTGTTCAGGGAAGAGAATGAAGTCAAGTATGTCTGGAGCACAGGACCAAGTGGAAGATGAGTTGGAGGAGGCAGACGGACCGGCTGGCCCAGGACTTTGTGGACCACATGTAGCATTGGGGTATTATTCTAAATGGAGCAGAACACCTTGGAAGGCTTTCCATAAATCCATTAAAGTGATCTATACTTAGACGATCACTACCACTGCCAGAAAAATGAAAGCAAGAAGGCTATGAGGCTATTAATTCAGTCCAGGCCAAAAAAGGATGGCATTTTGGCCCAGGCTGGTATGTTTTAAAGGTCGATTCAGTAGGGCTTGCTGGTTAATTTGATGGGGTGAGAAATAAAAGGAAGAGAAGAATCAAGGAGGAGACTATTAAACAGACTTACAACTCAGCAAAAATACTCCCCAGTTTTAAAGACAAACGGAAAACAGAAAAATTGAAATTCCAATGCAGTGATATCTGCACTGCACTGCACGTATGCATTTCATCAGTGACCTGGAAGGGCCCATCTGCCGTCCACTGAGGGAGGACCTACAGATAGCACTTTGAGAAGGGAAGTTGATTTTAAAAGGTAGGCAGGACAAGCTCCTAACAACAACTTGCCCAGCAGTTTCATCACCTCTTGGATGGCTTTGGGACATAGCCAGGAGATCCACTGCCAAAGAGCCACAGCTTCTTCCTGTGTAAAATAAGAAGTTTTACATTGGATGTTCTTTATGGTTGCTTCTCATTTGAAATTTCTGTGTTTTAATATCCCACTGGGCCTATTTCAGGGCTCTTGAGTATATAAGACATACATAATACATCAGTTACAGTAATAAAGAGGCTTCAGTGTTTGTTTTGTGTTTTGTTTTCAATATTTGTTTTTTTTTTTTTTGTGTGTGTGTGTGTGTGTGTTTATTGTTTCATTCCTATACTTAATTCTGGATTTAAATTTTTTTTCTTGATTTAGTATTTATACTTTTTCTGAAGTGATAGTCAAGAAACTTTTTTGCTTGAACACTACCCTTTGCACTCAGGATAAACTCTTTTCTTTAGAGGTACAGAGAACCCCAGCTCAAATGTTGCTCTTAATTCTTTTTTTTCAGCTTTAATTGAGTTTATCGGTACATTTTAGGGATACAGCACAGTTACATTCATTGTTGGGATCTTGTACCTCTACATGACAAATCTTGATTCTCATTTTTTCCCCTTACCTCTGCCCTCCCTTCACCCCCTCCTCCCCTCCCCATCTACAAACACTTTATTTCCATCTTTTTATTATCTCACATTTTTTTCTTTTCCCTTATTACCCTTCCCCTACCCATCTCACTTTCCCTACACTTTTAGCTCCTTTCTTTCCATTTCTAAATGTCAGTAGTCTTATTAGGATCTTATGTATTATTGCAGATTATTCACACCAGAGAAAATGTTCGGTATTTACACATGTGTGACTTATTTATTTCACTTAGGAGTATATCTTCAATATGCATCCATATTCCTATGAATGAATCTATTTTCTCATTCTTTATGGCTGAGTAATATTCCATTTTATAGTAATTCTCATCTTACTAAAAAGCTTCTGTACTTCAAAAGAAACCATCAGCAGAACTAAGAGACAATCTACAATGTGGGAAAAAATTTTTACCAGCTGTTCCTCAGACAAAGGACTATTATCAAGAATATATAAAGAACTCAAAACAGTCAGTCCCCCCAAATATAAAGACCTGATTCAAAAATGGGCACCCGAAATGAACAGACATTTCTCAGACAAAGAAGTAAAAGCAGCAAGAAAATATTTGAAAAAATGTTCTACATCACTGGTCATTCGAGAGATGCAGATGAAAACAACACTGAGATTCCACCTCACCGCACAAAGAATGTTGCTCTTAATTCTAATAAGCATGTTGCTCTTAATCCTAATGTACACACACACACACACACACACACACACCATATACATATAAATGTATATTTGCCATTACCAAGTATGTACCATTTATGGGTCACACTTTGTGTTGCAGTTAGTAATTTCTGCATCTTGACTTACTTAGCCCTCACAATAAGAAGTGGTAGGTAGAACTATCTGATTTTGCAAATGAGATAACTAACTGGATCTTAGCATGTTGTACAGCTAGGATCACAGTTTTGCTGGATCTCTTAGCCAGGCTTTTATCCCTGGAAATGTGAGAAATAAGCCTTCTTGCTGTGAGAATGAAATGAGATGATACGATATGTGAAAGTTGCTCATCACAACACAGTGTTTGACCCATAGTGGCTCCATGTGGCTTCCTGATGTGAAGCCCTCACTATGCCTCCTGTGTTATTTGAGGCCTTTAAAAATATTCAAATCATTCACAACTCCGCGAAGTAAGATTTTCCAACAAGGCTCTATATATGTTCCTCAGCAAATATTAACACCGTTTTAGCATGGTCCAAACATCCACGACCTCATGAGTCCCGGGGCACTGGTGTGAAGAGAGGTTTATGACACATCTATGGCTGCTGCTAATGAAAGGTCCATTTCTTTCCTTAGCCACCATTCCTTCACTCTCTTTCCCACCTCATCCATAATTCAGCAGAAGTCCACAGGGCACAGAGCTCACAATGTGCAATCTGGTTATTAGTTTTTAATTTCCTTGGAAACCCTGAAGCATTCCTGTAGACCCTGGATTATGTTTGGGTTTGTTATCCTTCCTGCCTTTGGCACCATGCTGTTTTGGGACAAGGCCAGCTCCTGGCAAGACTACCATTTTTGTTTCTCAGGCACATATTACTGGGTACCTTGCCCCGGTGGTTAGTAGCCACCTCAGTCTGCTCGTATTGCTTGATTTTTGATCTCTGGATCATAGCAGGACATGAGGAAGGGAGGAGAAAAAAAATCCATGCATAAATACATTTATTCTAAAATTCCTAAGCCCATGAATTCACAGGATTTCCCCAATATCACTTACAAAAATATTTCTTCATATTCATTTAAGTGAATAAGAGGGAGGAATATATTTTAAGGCAAAACAGTAGCATTTTCTGCCTTCTTGGGAGATAGAGGTAGGTGGCATTATTTAAATTAGTCTAGAATAAAATTCTTTCTTTCTCTTCCTTTAGCAGACACTGGTGAGAGAAGGAAAATTGAGAAGTTACATGCAGCAATGAACTTAGTGTACATCAGAGGAGGGCTGCAGCTCAGCTTGGGGTCAGGGCTAGAAGGCGCTTCGCAGCTCTGCAAGAAGCCATAGGATGATTCCACTTTCTTTTATTTTGCTGCAAAAAAAGATAGCAGAGTCATGTGGGGAAGCTGACCTAAGTTAGCAGACCTGGTATCCCGTGAGCAAGTTGAAAGTGTGACTCCAAGTTGCTCTTGGTAGGTGTAGCCTATCTCCTTGTAGTTTTGGAAAATCAGTCTGTGGGATTTATTTTTTTTATTTTACTTTGTTTGACCTGATTTGCTATTTTGGGAAATCAAAGTAAAGAGGGATATTATATCTAGGTGAGTTAGAACACAGATCAGCAACATTGCATGTGAGATGGTGAGAAAATCCATAAATTTAACAAATTTAGGAGATGAAAGACTGTAAAAGCAGAGGAGACAAGGAACAACATAAGCCCCCTCCTTCCCCACCAGAACTCCTGGAATGACGAACAAAAGTGTAAAACCCACACTTTACCTGACTTCAGCCCTGCGCAAGTCATGTTGCATTTCTTCAGAATGAAAACATATAAAATTTA